AGGTTCTGGGTTTGAGCCTGCCACTTTTGGACTCTCGCTTGCTGAGGTGTTCCAGCGAGTGTCTCTGTAGATCTTAGAAAACTATTTCTAGATTTAAGTCGTTGACGTGCTGGCTGATACCCAAACAGGGGATGAGCTGGAGATGTCTCTGCCTTGGTCCTTTCACTATTGGCCGCCACTTCCCGGCGGATGTCAGGTGGCGCAATACCGGCTAGGCAGTATAATTTTTCCAGTGGTGTAGGGCGTAAACACCCTGTGATAATGCGGCATAGGGCCTGTCTGGAAGGGCTCCATGGCTTCACATGCCACCTGTTTCTCCAAGGCCAAAGCAGTGGCAGTTGGATGGAAGGAGGGCTCTTCATCTGCTTCTGGGTCAAGCACATGCAAGAGCAAACTTCAGCCCTCCAGGTGTTTCGGACTTCAACTCCCACAATACCTAACAGCCGGTCTAGCAGTTTGTAATGTAATACAGGTTGAGTATCCCTGATCCAAAGTGCTTTGAACTAGAAGTGTGTAAATCACTTTGAGTCCTCCTGAGGGTGAGAAAAGCGGTATACAAATACTGTAAATAAATAAATAAAATGTTTGGGATCATGGGATAGCTGTTTACATACACAATGACACATTTCAAAGATAGCACCCAAGATGAAACACAACAGAGGCATGCACGAGGCCTCTTTTCCCATGTGCCCAGCAATGCCGCTGCGCATCCCTCTCTCGGCATTAGGAAATGTGCGCCCTGCATCGCCCTCCTTCTCCATGCACTTCCTAACGCTGGGAGAAGGATGCACACTGGTGTTGTTGTCTCCCTTGGCCTGCAAGGAGGAGGAGGAGAGGAGGACAACATGCACACTTGTGAGGGAAGGATGGAGGGAGAGCATGCTCCCTGCATGAGGGCCCTTTTTCCGTGCGCCTGGTAATGCCGGCGCGTGTCCCTCTCCCGGAGTTGCAAAGCGTGTGGGGGAAGAGAATGCAAAGCGCATACCCAGGAGCCGATGGAGCACAGGGCCTCTTCTTCTGTGTGAAGAGGGGCAGCATTGCAAGTGCCTCTCCAGGCAGCTGTGCCATCACCCCTCTCAGGGCGGCAAGGAGGTTTCTTCATGAACGGAAGTGACTGAAGGTACTGCAAATCTAAATTATTGTACATGTTTCCCCAAAACCCCTCCAGTATCAGAGTCTATTTTCCCCAAATCCCTTCAGTATTTTGTGTTGGAACTACATCAACACTGACAAAGAAAAAAACAAGAAATACTATTTACCCACAAGCATTAAGAAATTACATATATTAGAAACCAACTTTCTTATTACTTTCTTTTCAAGATCACTAGACTGGATCACAGCAACGCGTGGCAGGGGATGGCTAGTGTGTGTGTGTGTGTATGTATGGCTGGCATGGGCCAACTTCAGCCCTCCATGTGTTTTGGACTTCAATTCCCACAATTCCAAACAGCCAGTAGGAATTCCTAAATACCTGGAGGGCCAAAATTTGTCCATGCCCCCATAGATAGATAGATAGATAGTGATTGGTTTTGGGGGGGGGGGCGCCAAAATACTGTTTGCTTACCATTGAAAATTACCTAGGGCCGCCTCTGGCTGTGATGTACAAGATAGAATGAGCTTGTTTTCTCGTGCTGCAGAAGATACAGTCTGAAGCAATGGATGCAAATTACAAGAAAGGGGGATGCAGTTAAAAAGTAGGGAAACTTATTGGCAGCAAGAAATATTCAACAGTGGTGTGAGCTTACCTTGAAATTCTTTGGATTTGCCTTCATTTGAGGTTTTCTTTTTTCAAAACCGATGTTATGGTGGCTACAAGTTAGAGTACTTTAGCAGTGGATTTCCTATATGCCTAGGGGTTGGATGAAATCACCCTTGACATCCCTTTCAGCTCTATCATTTTAAACTAAACTATTGTTAATCATTTTTTGTCTTTTTAATTGAATGCTATCCTTTAAAGTGTGGGTTTAATTGTTTTAATACTGTGAATAATTTAATCCCATTTCATTGTTCCCTTTTTGCATGATTTAACGCTTTGTTAGATTGGCAGCTATGAAGAAATTAGACTAGATCTTAAAGTGTCAAGATATATTATTGAATACTAACATTTGCATTGTTCGTTCCATCATATTTCCAAGTTCTATGTATGGTTGTGAAGTTTGGACAGCAAAGAAAGCAAATAAGAAGAAAATCAAGACCTTTGAAATGTGGTGCTGGAGAAGAGATCTGCAGAGACAATGGACTACTAAAAAAACAACCTATAAATGGGTCCTAGAGAAAATCAGACTGAAACTCTTGCTAAAAACCCAGTTGACTAAACTGAGACAATTGTAATTTGGTCATATCATAAGAAGATGTGAATCCCAAGAAAAGACAATGATGCTTGGTAAGGCAGAAGGCAACAGGAAAAGAGGAAGGCTAGAGATGGATTCAATCAAGGAAGCCAAGGTCCTGAGTTTGCATCCCTGAGCAGGGATGTTGAGGATAGCCGCTCTCCCATTGACTTGACATCAGTTAACAACAACAATCAAACTACCCTGAGATCCAGGTTTGGAGGAGGACGAGGACAAGGAGAGATGATTTGATTAGCATCTCATTTGTGGAACAATCTCCCTAGGAAGCCCTCCCAAAGAAGTGTGGTCCTCACCAGGACACTCCCTATGGAACAGTGGTTCTCAAACTTTGATTCTCCAGGTGTTTTGGACATCAAATTCCCAATAGTCACCATGTTGGAAAGTGAAGTCACCATGGGTTGTTGTAGGTTTTTTTGGTCTATATGGCCATGTTCTAGAGGCATTTCTCCTGACATTTCGCCTGCATCTATGGCAAGCATCCTCAGAGGTAGTGAGGTCTGTTGAAACTGTTGGAATGTATTCACCATGTTGGGAAGTGAAGTCCAAAACACTTGGAGGGCCACAATTTGGGAAGCACTGCAGTACAGAGCACCCCTTGGAGAATCTAAATGTGCAGGTGGCAAGGTTAATATAAGACAATTTTAGCAGTTTCTTTCTCTGATAGGAACAAGTCTTTTGTAAACCCCACTACTGCCATCCCAAAATAATTTGGATTTCAATAAGCATAATTCATAACTGCACATCATTGCCACAAAACCTCCTTTCCTCTCCAGTTACTGTGAAAACTGCATTGCAACTCAGCAAGAACAGTAATAAGAAAATGTCACATCTTCACCTCTGGGAGCTCAAGCTCTACTAGTCCAGTGCTTCCAAGTAAACATAGTTAGTTAATAGTATGATTTTCTCTTTAGCTTCAGTTTTCCTGTGAGAAAGAGTTGACTGTAACTCAAAACTCAATGTGCTTAGTCTTAACTTCTATGGTTTATTAACCACTCTTCTTCATTGCTCATTGCATCTTTGGTTGAAAGCTATCATGTTGGATTCAGGGGGTCAGGAATAGTAGTGCAATCCTAAACTGTAACCAAGCTAACTAAATATTATATATTTGTATCTTTCCTTTTTTTGTCCTTTTTTGAAGGGCAACATGTATGGAAGTAGTCTTTTGAAATTCACAGAAAAGTCTTGCAAGATAGTTTAGTTTGAGAGCAGGTGGGTGTCCCAAGGTCATCCATAAGCAGGAACTTGAACCCTAAGGTGACTTGACCACATCCAACACTTAATTCATGATACCACACTGGGTTTATTTTTCATTAATTAACTTCCTGCTCTCCTTAGCACTAAAGAACTACACCAGTTGCAGAGCAACCTACCATGCCATGTTGGTATGTAGTTCCCACCACCACCAAATACTAAATCTTAAGCAGTATAGTCCCATTCAGATGTTTTGATCTATAGCTATCAGAAGTCCAATTCATTGGCTATACCAATTAAGGCTTGGGAATTGTTTCATCTAAAACAGTGGTTCTCAAAATGATTTAGATCAGTGGTTCGTAACCCATGGGTCCCAGGTGTTTTGGCCTACAACTCCCAGAAATCCCAGCCAGTTTACCAGCTGTTAGAATTTCTGTGAGTTGAAGGCCAAAACATCTGGGGACCCATGGGTTAAGAACCACTGGTTTAGAACATCTGGAGAACAGCAGATAGTAAATCTACCATCTACCCAATGTGAACCCTTGGGACTTGTGAGATTTTATTTAGTGCCAAAAGACTTGTACATCAACCTATTCCACAATTTTGACATCCCAAACACCCACAAAGGAAAACTTGCCATCATATGCCTAACGTGCTCACTAACTTCCTCCTTACTCCTAAACTCAACATGTAGGAATTGAGCCAAAGTTGACCTGAATCTTTCGGCTTTCCAAAGTTATTCTTATTCATGAAAATCCCTACCACTGCTACCTAGAAAGCACATCTGAGCATAACATTTCCTGCTGGTATCATTTTCAGTTTTGCTTCAGCTAAAATACAGCTCCTTCATTTATGTTCTAGATATATATATTTTTTTCCTCCACACTTTGCCTTTCATGTTTTCCTGGTAGTCACTTTACAATTCCAATACGAGATTTCCTTTGGGGAATCATCAAAGACTACAGACTTGAAACCGGGAACCTCTTCCCAGACTACCAAGTACTTCTGTGCTTTTTTTCTCCCTCCCCAGCTGCAGTAGAATGAATTCAACCCTCTAAAAAAACCCAGCAGGAAATAGTCACATTGGGTGTGTGTATGTGTCTGAGAGAGATGGATTCCCCAGCAAATGCTGTGGATGTCAAGAGCATGCAATTAAATTCCAGTCGACTTGACAGTTAATGTGCTAATCTGTCAAGTGGGAGGCAGCAATGCTCTTATTTTTGAGAACTACAGGTGGGGAAATGATAGAGATTCCTATTGATTTCTCCCCCTCCCCTTTGCCCCACCCAAACAGATGCTTCTTAGGCCTAGGAAGATTCTTCAAGGCTAGGGGGGGAAATCCACCCTGCCCTCCCTTGTGACATTTTAAAAAGAAAATTACAAGTACAACACAAGACCTCCAGACTGTCTCCCCATAGACACACCTCACCCCAAGCCGTCAAAGCCACCTGGACTTACCTCAAACATGGGGGAGTGTCGTTTGACTGACAACGTACAGCCCAGAAGCTCTGCGAGAAACTTTGCCATATACAAACAGGGAAGAAGTGGTTCCACCTTGAGATCACGATGCCAAGAAAAGGATATCCTTGGAAGCTCAGCAAAAAGAGAGAGATAGAGAGAGCAAAAATCTTCCTTACAGCCCAACCCTGGCCATTTCTTCCTCCAAAAGGGAGACTTGTTTATCCAAGCTCACTCATTCCCAGCATTGTGACAAGCAGGTGATGCGGAGCTGCAAAGGCTCAGGTAGTGAGCAATCTTTTGAGGGACAGAAATAAATTAAAGGTAACGAAAGAATAGCATAAATCCACAGTGCACAGGGGCTTGGGCTATTTGATGCTGGCTTCCCAGCCTTTCCCACTGAATGTCACTATTACCACAGTAAAAGGGAAAGGGCTCCGCAAGGGGGAAATAAGAGGGACAACAGTTGCTTGCATGAAGGAAGGAGGAGAAAAGCCACAGCACACTTCGTCTCCTGCATCACACCGGGTGGTTTCAGCCAACATAAGAGTGCAGGGACAGGGGGAAATTCTGTTGTTTGCAGCACTGAAAGTGACTGAAAGATTATCAAGGGCCTTGGCTACAAGCCAAAGAAGGCTCCATCCTTGTACTTCAGTTTCTATGTGGCCAGGTTCATCCTCTTGAAGAACAAACAGGGCTCAAAGTCGATCTCCAATCAAGTCTAAAGGAGTTGATAGCTTTTCCAGAATTAGGACTAAACAAGGAATGAGCAAGGGAAGTATATAGGCAAGGTAGAGACACCTTGTTCTTGGTGGTATGGGGATACCAAATCACCTTGTCTGTCTCCTGAAGAATCTGTATAATGACCAAGTCGCAACAGTAAGAACAGACCATGGAACAACAGACTGGTTCAAGACTGGGAAAGGAGTATGGCAGGGCTGTATACTCTCACTCTACCTACTCTACCTATGTATGCAGAAAACATCATGTGATGTGTGGGGCTTGATGAATCTAAAGCTGGAAGGAACATTAACAACCTTAGATATACAGATGATACCACTGATTGCTGAAAGCGAGGAGATGCTGGGGAGCCTTCTAATAAGGTGATAGAAGAAAGTGTAAAAGCTAAAGTGTAGTTAAACATTAAAAAAAACATGATGATGGCAACCAGACTGATTGATAACTGGCAAACAGAAGGAGAAAACATAGGGGCAGTGACAGGCTTGGTATTCCTAGGCGCAAAGTTTACTGCAGACGCAGATTGCAGCCAGGAAATCAGAAGAATTTTATGACCAATCTCAATTAAACAGTAAACAGTAGAGACATCACACTGGCAACAAAGGTCCAAATAGTTAATTCCCCATAGTATACTATGGATGCAAGAGCTGGACCATAAGGAAGGCTGAGCGAAGGAAGATAGACACTTTTGAACTATGAAGTTGGAGGAAAATTCTGAGAGTGACTTGGACTACAAGAAGATCAAACCAGTCAATCCTCCAGGAAATAATGCCCAACTGCTCACTGGAGGGAAGGATATTAGAAACAAAGATGAAGTACTTTGGCCACTTAATGAGAAGACAGGAAAGCTTGGAGAAGATAATGATGCTGGGGAAAATGGAAGGAAAAATGAAGGGGGGACAACCAAGGGCAAGCTGGATGGATAGTATCCTTGAAGTGACTGGCTTGACCTTGAAGGAGCTGGGGGTGGTGACGGCCGACAGGGAGCTCTGGCATGGACTGGTCCATGAGGTCACAAAGAGTCAGAAGCAACTGAAGAAATGTTTCACTTCCACTGCATAAGTGCTATAGTTACTGAGCAACTGGACAGTTATATTTTGTATCAGGATGCTTATCTCGGTTGTCCATTCAAAGTGGGCAATATTAAATAATCCATAACACTTTTGTTAAGATCTGGTCAGCCGGGTCTTATTTATTTCTGTTTTAAATGAAAGTGAAAGAAAATAACCCTACTGAGAAAAAGAGACAGCATATAGTTTGCTTTATTTCCTATATGCGTAAGATTTCTACCTCTTGCACCAGATGTGAATAAGCTCCAGGATCCAGGGCCACCCTACAATGGAACTGGTTATGGATAGTTACCAAAAACAAACATGGATGAAATGCTACTTTCAGTTTTGAAAAAGCCCACTGGGGAGAATATGGGGTCTGAACCTTGTTTTAGAGGAGAAATTAATATTCCTAAAGGCATTCTGGCACCTTGATTTCTTAAAACAAGTAAAAAAATTACCAATATTCTGGGGAGAAGGTGACTTCAGTTGTCCAACTAGGAACAATAGTGCTGCAATGGATTAAACCCTTGTGCTGGCTGAACTGCTGACCTGAAGACCTGAAGATCGATGGTTCGAATCCGCGAGATGGGTGAGCTCCTGCCTGTCAGCTTCCCATGCGAGGACATGAGAGAAGCCTCCTACAGGATGGTAACACATGTGGACATCCCCTGTGCACCGTCCTTACAGACAAGCAATTCTCTCACACCAGAAGCGACTTGCAATATATTCTCTTTTTTTTTTTTTAGTAATTTTGGTTTTATTTTGTAAGAAAGCAAAAAAAAATCCCAAACAGAGTGTAAAAACATGAAAAGTCTGCCCACTTAATCTATATTGTAGTATATAAAAGGCACCGCCAAAACCCAAAATTAATCACAATAAAAGTTTCTTTTTTTTTTTAAACATACTATTACATTTTGTACATCAACCTCTTTAACATGTTATTTTATTATTTTACTCTGACATTTCTCCCC